ATTGTTATTAAATTCCAAAAAATGCAAAATATATGTGAATTATAACTTTTAAATAATTACAATTGTAACATAGATAATATTAAAATTTATAAATATTCTTATAAGTAATTTTATACACTAGCAACGAATAACAAACAACTAGTTTTACCAAATATTATTCTACAAACAATTCATGCATTTTATTAGTCAAAACAACTACTACTATCAGTAAGTCAAAACAACTAATACAATTCTCTAATTTCTAACATCAACAGTTGGATTTAGTTCAATTCCGTTCCAAGTTATTTACAAAAACATAAAAAAAAAAAAAAATAAAGAACATCTTATCAATAAATATATATTTGAAATTAGAGGGCAAATGGACATTTGTACATGTTGCCATATTTAATTAAGCACATGATCATATGCACCCTTCGACCCTCTCTACACATCCTTAACTATCGCCTTTCTTAGAATGGACCAATGTTACATCAATTCATTTCGGATACCTTTCATTACCTAAGCCTGTACAAACAATTCAAGATTTTTTTATTTTTTATTTTTTAATTTTTACGAAAGTTGACTATATAACTGTTCTAAGTCATCAAAGATGGATTTCATGATACATGTTGGTGAACAAAGGCAGAAATTAAAGTCTAAAAAGCAGGGGAAAAAGATATCTCTATAGCCAAATAATTAAGCATGTGATTTGAAGTTAAACTAGTACGTAGCCCGTGCGATGCACGGGACATAAATATTAAATGAGTCATTTCCACAGAGTTGGTCTGTTAAGTAGCTCGTGTGATTCATGGGAGATATTAAATGAGTGGACAATAGGGATTGTCAGTTAAGGCCTAAAAAAGTAATAGAGTTTGATCATCTATTTTTTTACCTCTTTTATCAACGTCATCTTTTTTGTCGAGACATTAAACCTGAGCCTGGTAGTGGTAGCGCTAGACCATAAATTAATTAACATATTATCTCGCTCACATGTTTATAATAATATAAATTTAATTTCATTATATATATTTATTCCTTGATATAAGAAAAATAACAATTTTACGTAATCTTGTTACTCGTATAATACTCATATTATTTTATTATAAAATTTATTGTAATAGCATGATGAACCAATATATTATTATAAATAATATTTTAACATATATATTTATTTTTTAATACAAAATAATAATAATTTTACATATTTTGGTTCATCATAATACTCAATTATTAATCTATCAAAAAATCTATTATCATATAATGTCATTATTATTTATAACACTTGTAGAAGTAATATATTTGTTATATAATGATAAATATGTAATGTATATGAATATTATTTAGTGATGTAATTAATTTAAAAAGGTATAAGCAAATTTAATGTTAGGTAGGAACGTGATTATAAGTAAGTTGAGATAAAATGAAATGTATCAAAAAAATCTTCTTATGATATTTTCCTTTAAATGTTTGAATGAATTTGAAATTAAAATTACAAATCAACCTCCAGTTATTCAAATAATTTTAAAAAAGTTACCAATTGTAGTAAAATGTACGTGACAATATATTATAAATATACATGACGTCAGTAATGTTATGAATCTTTAAGTTCCTAAAATATATATTGTTTAGATATGAAACTAATTAACTTATATGTTAAGATAATATATACAAATATATGTATTGTACAAAATATACACGTGACAAGTTCTTATATTTGTTTATATATTGTTTGTATATTTGTTTGTATTGTTTATTATATTTGTTTATAAATATATTGTTTATATATTTATCTGTATTGTACGATAAATTATTATATTTGTTTATATATTGTTTAAATATATATTGTTTAGATATGAAACTAATTAACCTATATGTTAAGATAATATATATAAATATATGTATTGTATGACATCTTTAACGTGTTTGTTAAATTTTTTTCCTAAAAAATTCAAAATACATTTAGACATGTTTTGTTTGAAGTTTGAAATTCAAATATGCATCTATATAACAAATCCCATGATTTGTGCTAGCATTAAATGCTATTTGATTTTTTATTAAAAAAATTAAAAAACATACCAAAAATGGAATGCAATTAATATTCCCTATTTTTTTGCTTACTATTTTTGAAAAATGTTAATTCTTATTATATATATATAGATTATATTTCTAAATAAAAAAATATATGTGTTTAACTAAGCCCAATTATATTAAATTTGTAAAACAAACCTAAATAATATAATGTTTTACTTGTAATATTAATGATATCTAATAACTTATATAATTGGGCTGATGTATGAAGTAATGTTACATATGTATATGGGCTCATAATTTAATTTGTTAGATTTATTTAGTAATACAATTAAATAAATAATTAAATCTATTAATGGGCTTTTAAAATTGCACATATTTACAACAACCTGGGCCGAGTACATGTTTTGTAAAATTGGGCCCAATATACATTAATATATCAAATGTCAACCCACTGTATGCACTGGCCCAATTCAGACTTCATTGGATATGTTGTATCTGTACGGATCTCACGGCTAATAGAAGTCAAAGCATATCTAACGGCCACAAATAAAAGGAGTCTGATATAAAAGGCAACCACGCCCGATGTTTTAGGGTTATTCATTCTGTTTCGAGATTCATCCTTGTCTTATCCGCCGCTTCTTCTCTCTATTTCCGATCAACTCGTTACGTTTTTTCTTCTTCTTTTTTTTTTTTTTTGTCAATTTGTTTTCAGTTTAAGCAAATAAAAACATATCTATATAAACGATTTGGAGGAAGCGATTTGGGTTTTTTAGATATCATAATACATGCTGTATATTGATTTGCGACGGGAATCGATTTGGATTTTTCCGATTTCCAAACATTTCTAAGATTATTTTTTTGTAATTTTTGGTCGATCTGCTCGAAGAGTCATATTTCAATCCCGTCGATTATAGCACGGTGAGTAGGTAATTTCAAAAATAATTTAAATTTTTTTTGGAACGGTCTTGACTTATTGCATATTTTTCTCTTGTTCTATTTTATTTAGATGCATGTTTCGAGGTGATATTTCTAAAAATTAATGCGTTTTGGTTTTGGAATTCGGTTTACAATTTACAGATCTACTGGAATCTGACTCGTTCTTCACAGACAATGTGAATAGACAGTCGGATTCCGAGAAATGATAAACAAAATACATTTGTCGGCCTATGATTTTTGGAATTTTCGTCATTATCTATGACCAATTATTCTGTCCTTATCTATTCCTTATAAGGTGGTAACAAAAAAAAATAATGGGATAAGGACTCTTGAAGGCGTGTACAATGGGAAGAGATACGGTTTATAAATAATTTGGCGTGTACAATGGGATAAGATTTGATTATAATTAATTAGTTAAGTAACAGTGTGAAAAGGACATAACATAGGCATGTAAAAAGGACATTGAAGTTGCTTTTTTGGGAAAGTAATTAATGCAAACTGGCCGTTGACTACATATTAACCTACTAAATATGATAAATGTTAAATCTTATAATATAAGTATAGATTCCGATGAAAAAAATCCAAAAATAAATGGCAGCACACCACTTTTAGTAAATATTACTCTCTCCATTTTGAAATATAAGGCGTATAAAGATTTCTCATTTTTTTTGAAATATAAGGCGCGCTCAAAAATCAAGACAAATTTTTGCATTTTTTTCTAAATATACCATCATTGTGTTGAAATTAAGGAAGTGTGGAGTGGTTGTGATTAGAGTAAATAAGGTTAATTTAGTCAATTTATTCATTAATTAATGTCTCCTTCATATTTGTGCAATAACCTTAAATGCCTTATATTTCAAAATGGAGGGAGTAGTAAATAATCTGTTGTATTAAAACTTACGGAGTTCAGCTTATAACAGAATTATAAGTATAACTTTTGTTAATTTCCTTAAACTATGAATGTGCTATCATATTATGCTCTGATACTTGAATTCACAGCTTGTAATTTGGCATCACATTTAATGCACACGTGGAAAACACGTTCGTTGGTTTTCTTTTCCCGTTTTGATTCACTTAATTGCTGTCACATTACGGGACACATACAAGTTGCACATGAGTCCATTTTACTCTGTTTGACTGAAAAATGGGACATCAGATTCTAGTGTGTGTAAACCTGAAACACGATTTTTGCAATTGTGTTCAAAATTTCTTTGTCATGCAAAAAAAATAAAAAATAGTGATTTTTTTTTTTTTCTTTTCAAACGATGAAATGTAACTCTAAATACCCTGGTATATAATTGGAAAAAAGAAGAATTAATCTACTTTTCCATATTGATTTACCAAATGGCTAACTGAATTATGTGTAAGCAAAAATTGGATTGTTGATTTTATAATAATAATAATAATAATAATAATAATAATTATTATTATTATTATTATTATTATTATTATAAGAAAGAGTAACAGACTTGCCATGTATAATTTTTTTTCAAACGATAATAATGCCATGTATACTTTCGGTGGTTCATTATGAAAAAAATTCAGGTCAACATGACTCGAAAAAAGAAAGCCTGCACTAAAGAGAAACAAATATATTTTTGCTCCTTCACTTTTCCTCTCTGTGCTTGATTAACCATCTCTCTTTTTCCACATGAAAGTAAAAAGTAAAAACAGAGGGCTCATTATGTTACCCACAGTAACATTTTTATCCTACCAGAGTTTTTTTTTTTTTAACTTTTCTTTTTCGCAAGTTGTCATTGGACACAAAATCTTGTTGAAATAGACTCATCTCACTTTTTTTTTTCTCTAACAGACAGTTTAATGAATCTAATTTTCAAAATAAAATCCAGATATTATTATAACTTTCGTGACAAAATTGCTGCTTCACGTGAACTAACATATTTCTATAACTCCTCCTATTGGCCTTATAAATAGAAAGAAACAATTAAAGAGGGTACTTCTCACTTGTTCACAAACCTTTCTCTACTAAAAAATCCTTGTCAAATTCAAAATAAAAGATTACCAAAAAAAAATAAAAAATAAAAAATACGAGAATGAATAATACCACAACTTCGGATTACAGTTGCGAAAGCGAGTCGGGATGGACTACGTACTGGGCTCAACTATCCAATTCCATTGATTCAAATTACAACGAAAAAATATCAGCACACAATATTGTGAATGAGTATATTGATGTTGATGATGATAATCTATCCATGCTTTCAGATGCATCATCAGGGCCCAGACCAAATATAAACGAAGACCATTTTTCTTCGTTTTCCGGAGGTAAAAAGTCGAGCAATCGTAAAAACAAGACCACAGAGGATGAGAAGCATAGCCATTTTTGTCTGGATGACACTGCCACTTCACATTTCCTAATTTTTGTCACTTTTTAATTTACTAATTTTCATGGACAAAAATAAACTAAAATTAAGAGAAAATTGTGAATGCTCATTTTTTGTCAGGCGGCGTTGGGGACGAAAGAGGCAGTAACAGAATTTGGGCCCAGAGAGAGGCCATTTGGAATTTAGACATCACGTGTTAATTGTGCTGTCATTTTAAATGTATCCACATGAGATTGCTTAAATTTTTCTACCTGTTGCTATCCCCACCGTAGCATGTAGGGAACAACCAGGAAGTATAAATGTGAAAATGAAGTAAATAGTAATAAATAAATAATATTCGTTTGCTCGGCTGTCACTCGTGTAAAAAATCACTTTAAATATAGTTTCCAAATCAATAAAATAAATAAATCTGGAGCTTTATGGATTTGCTGCTATTGTAAATTTAATGGTTTTGAGGATCAAAATCATGACTATAAATCATATTTGTCCACAAAAGTATGTTAAAATCGTTGCAGATAATGGTCTTTTTTGTTTTTTTTTCGAAACTAAAGATTCTATTAATAAAATACGTATATACAAGCTGCTAACTAGCCGACTAAAATAACTATACAACAGAAATAAGAGAGACTTACATGACGAGAATACCAGAAACTTAGAATGAACTAACCTAAACACACCCACAACTACAATAGTCATAATTTAAACTCCCACGAGTCGAGTATTCTAGCTTGAATACTAGAGAATAAAACACAATAAACACAAAAACTAAGAATCAGCTAAACTAGAATAACACTCTCTCCTACGTCTTGCGACCCGCTCCATAGCAACACCAACGGACCGACACGCGGACATAGTCTTCTTTAATCTGTGGTTGTGTTCTTTGAGTGCTCACATTCCTTTGTTCTTATTCCTAATTCATGCCGCACTCTTCAATCTCCATGTCTTCTTTGATCCTTCTTGAGTTTTGTTGGGTTGTTCATTAACCCTCTTTTTGGTGATACATAGTCAACCCCGGTCGTTCCCTCGCCGTCAGTGTTCACACATTGAATGAGCATACTACTCCTAAGGTTGCTCCACTTGTATTTGTTTATGTTCCTACACGCTTTGTTATTAAACAGTTGGGTGTTTAAGACACGTTGGCTAAGGAGGTTGCTGCACAATAGAGTTATCTGAAGCGGTTGCTCAAGACAGTTAAAGGTCGATGTTGCTCATCTCTTGGGATAGGTCCTTTGGCATCCAAGAGTTCGACAAAGGAAGAGAAGACTGAAGATGAGGACGAGACCATGAGAGGAGATTTCGACTGACTTGCTGCTGCTTTCTTTTAATTTTACAAGCTTTTGAGTGCCTGGAGGGTTGTATTGAGGTCGTCTGTGTAAGATCTTCATAAACAACTTGAATTTGCATGATTTTACTATATGTTGGTTTTTAGTGTATTCTGTGGGATTTGTGAACAATTGATCATCTGGTGTAGTTCGTTTCTGTTTTTCTTAAATGTTACTTGTGAAGGGTATGCTGAATATTAAGAAGTTTGATCTTACTTTTGTGTTTCTTGTTTGATGTTCTAGGATGAGATGTGATCTGACCCTTGTGGGTGAACATATATATTTGCCTTCTTGCGGTTTTTCTTGAACCTGTGTTGTAGGTCATCTTCAAGATATGATTTAGAACTGAATGCTAAAAGGAGATATTGTAAGATTTATTTTTTGCAAGAGTTCGAAAATAATATCTTGATGTTTTTCTTGCAAGCAAATGAATTAAAATTGAAGAACCATTCTCTCTCTCTCTCTCTCTCATTTAATTAAGTCTAGAAACTATTTTGTTAAGTATGATAAGTATATATATTAGATCTAATAGACTTTATTTATGTATGTAGCTTCTATTTCTATTATCCTTGTTTTGATTTGTAAGGAGATTGCGCGTTTTAGGAAAAATAAGAAGTTGGTTGAGGAAGATCGTATATGAAAATCTCAGCTTCAAGATAGGAAGAGCTCGTCCACGTCTTGATGATATCATAAGGAAGAAAATCGGCTCCAAAAGAAGAAGAGAAATTGAAGGCTTCTTACCTTGAGTAGGTTGTATGTAAGCCTACACAAAGACACAATTGAAGGTTGCTGCAATAGTAATAGATGATCATATTCTTAGACTTCATTGAGTGTTTGTGAGCGTATATGTTTTTTTTTTATTCGGTTCAGTGATTCAGTGTTCTTACACCACTTAACAAGTGAGCTTCTTATTTATTTTACAAACGCTTTTAGTGTTAGGAATTAAGCACTTTTATAGTTAAGAGGGATCCATGACTATTTGTGAAGTCCACGTTTGGTGGCCGGAGAAGTAGTTAATAAGGTCAGATATAGTGTTGGCTAGACTAGGTGGGAGTCCGTGTCGTGTAAGTCCAAGTTGTATTTTGTGCGCGCATATCGATCTATTAATAAAAGAGCTCCGAGGGACAGTGAACCACTCCTCGAAGAGATTTATAAGTTTATCTACTTCTACTTCTAATTTCGGTGTTCTAACATACCTTGCGTATTCTATTTTTCTCCACTACCTACATTTCAAGTGCCACCGAGCAGCACCTTGTTCGACAGATCAAGATTTTCCAACATAGGCATGTGAAGAGATTCTTCTAGAAAATAACCCACCAAAAAACAGTATGAGAGAGTTAAAGTTGTTAGGCTCAAGAAATTCGCAAAGAAACTCGGAGCTGGGGACGAGAGGTTATTGCCATCGAGATAGAAAACCGAGAGGGACTTAAGCTCGGAAAGTGGAAAATCTTCGAGCCCCGATATTTTGCACTTGCGCCGACCCAATGTTCTTAAATCAGGTAAATGAGAAGTTATAACCTTGAATCAATCATGTGCACGTGCCGAAATATTAATGGTGTAGAGAAGCAGCTCTCTAAGCCCCGTAAGATTCCGAACAAGCATTTTCAAATCCGGATTCTCGAGCTTCACCGGCTGAATTTGAATAAAACATTAACCGATCTTGGGAAATATTGCTCTATCACATGTAGCTAAATGAGGCAGCAGTCACCGTTTGTAATGACTTTGCTTTTATTTTGCTGAGTTATAGCAATTATAACACTTCCATGGTTTACAACAGAAACTGATTTCACAAAAGCCCACCAAATGAATTCAGGCAAATCATAATCCATATACAATTCAGAAACAAATAGACCCCTGCAATTCTAAGATTGTTTATATATGTTTCTCATTAACGCAATATTAATTCAACACAAAAAAAGGTTGGGACATTTTCACTTATGCTACACGATTCTAGGAATATTGCAAAATTACCATTAATACACAATTAATTGTGTATGTACCTAATAGCTAGTAATTAATTATATTGTTGCCTAAAAATCAGTTACAGATCTTGATTCCATATTCCATATTTAAGAAAGATGACCAATTGGACCTTCCATATTCCATATTTAAGAAAAGATGACCAATTGGACCTGCTCAACCACCGCATGAGACCTTCTTGTCTGCTCGTCTCATGTACGTGATCTCGAGTGTATATCTTAGGTATATTTTATGTATATGTGGGTTCTGAAATCAATTTTGAGAAACTATTGAAACTCGAGTGTATATTTAAAGTATATTTTGTGTATATTTTGTGTTTGCTCGTCTCATGTACGTGATCTCGAGTGTATATCTTAGGTATATTTTATGTATATGTGGGTTCTGAAATCGATTTTGAGAAACGATTGAAACTCGAGTGTATATTTAAAGTATATTTTGTGTATATTTGAGAAACGATTGAAACTCGAGTGTATATTTAAAGTATATTTTGTGTAACATATACTGGTTTTGGCTTGGGATGGACTGGATCATTCATATGCAGTTCCAACCCCTGTGAATGGAAAATGGAAAAATAAAAAAATGGCTGACGGAGAATAGATCCAAGAAGATGAGTGGTGGTCCATAGGGATGCTGCTGTTGAGAATAGATCCTTGGTTCAAATCGATTGGTTCGGGAAAGGAATTGAAGGCACCCCTTTCACGTTGCATTAGTTTCACGAGTACAATAGGGGAAAAAAAAACAAAGGAAAAAAAGAAGAAAATACTATGGACACAAGTACAATAGTTTCAGATCTGCAGACAAAAAAAAAAAAAAAAAAGTAGACTCAATTCAAGATATGCAAAAGAATTGTAACTTGCACATACTAAACGGGTTTTATGCAAACATTTGCTTCAGCTTTTTGAATTGTCGGCAAAGATAGCATCTTTATAAGTCTTTGGTCTTTGAGGCGGAAGTCTTCGGGATAGAGCAGCGGCGAAGGGGCGGTGGTGGGCGGTTAGATCTGAATCGTCTATATCGGAGGTCGTTGAACCACGGTGGAAATTAGGCGTTCGCGGCGGGGATGGATGGATGGGAGAAGGCGAAGTGGCGAAGGGGCGGTGGGTGAGAAGAACCGGCGGATTTGTAGAAGAAGATAATGAGAGAGAGAGAGAGAGAGAGGGGGGGAGAGAAGAAGAAGAAGAATAGATAGGGAGAGCGAGAAAAAGTGTCGTGATAAAGATCCCATTAAATCTGTTTTTACCATAATTAAAAATAATTAATTGTTGCTTAATAATCTAGTATGTTTGTAAATATATATGATACTTTTAGTTAATTTGTAAATAAATATATATGAGTTGTAAATATGTAATAAAAATGTTAATGTGCAGTGCAGGATGTAATTTCCTCAAAAAGGTTTAACACAATCAAGGCTATTAACAACAACAAGAGCCACCACAACAAGTAAACTTAAGCTTATAAGCTCCAAATCAATATAGTGATGAATTGCCTTAAGCGATGGTTGGGTCTGTCGCATTAACCTGATATGTAAGAGGAAGAAAGAAAAAGAAGGGAAAAAAAAGCTCCAAATCAATAGCCAAACCAAGAATTCACAACTCAAGATCCATCAGTACCATAAATGCTACTGCTAAATTTTTACAAATTCCTAACGTTCAAGGTCAGTTCAAACTCAAGATTAACTCCTCAATAAGTTTTTATCTGCCTCAATGCTCAAAATCAAGGTTAATACATTCAAGGCTAATAAGAACAACTATAAGCCACCACAAATCCGAGCAAACTTGAGCTAATATTCTCCAAATAAATAGCCAGACAAGGAATTCCAAAGCCATGATCCATCAATACCTTTTTTTGAAATGTATCATCGAAATTTTCACAAATTCCCAATATTTAAGGTCAGTTCAAACTCAAAAATGACTTCCTCATTAGGTTTTTCCATCCATCAAAATGCTCAGGCATATCAAGGTTAACATATTCAAGACTAATAACAACTATAAGCAACCACAAATCCAAGTAAATTTACATTTATATGCTCCAAATAAATATCCAAACCAGGAATTCCTAAATCAACACCATATACCACATGAGATAAGATAAGTAGCTCGAAACTTTACATTCGTCACAACTCTAACATCTTCCAAATGTCATTGCATGTGTCGAAGGCAATGATCTCTGACTGATCGAGAGCTCAAACTTCTCGACCACTTTCTTATCTCTTGCCACGATATCTAGAGCGTGCGAGTTAGACTTAAACTGTTCCAATGAGCGATTTATTTAAAATGGGTGTGTCAAAATATTCAAATGATAAGATCAAATAAAACATAAATATACTAAAAGTTACAAAATGCATGCAAAGAAGGATACGGCAGGTCGTTGAAGTAAGGAATTATATTTGTGACAGAAACACACATCGAAAGCTTCATCCTGCAGAAGAAGAAAAAATTGCATGAGCCTAAAAGAAAAGAACATTATATATATTTGCTTCATATGAATCATGAATGTAGTATGTAGTAACTCCTTCCATCAGATTGCACAAAAATCCGCACATTGTGAAAAGTTTGTTAAAAGGATCATCAGGGAAAGGGTCCAAAGGGATAACATTAGGACCGTAAAGGTAATTGGTATTCTTGCGTTGGTTCTAAAACATGATAACCTCTAATAGAGCACAGAGAGCAAATTATAGGTGCGCAAAATATTCTGGATAAATAAGTGGTTAATGGTGCACCGTGTAATTGAAGCAAGAGGTGAAAGAAGATTTTTAAATCAACGAACCATGGCACACTTTCAGTTATCTACTATCAAGTGATGATGATAATAAAATTATCGTTTTAAAACTGGTTCTACATAATTATATGTCCAAGTTTTAGTGACATCAAAAAGATAACATAACAAACGATATGTTGAAAAGAAAAGCAAGATCCTCAAATTTTCACAACTTACTGAGCTCTTAGCTCATCTTGTTCAAGTTTCTTGATGGTTTGCATTTCTTCTCCACCAGAGATCATTTGCCTCTCTAGATCATTGATTTCGTTGACAATTGCTGTGTTCATTGTAATAGTAGTTGTTAAAGGATGCTGTCAACATGAAATGTATGCTTGCATATTCATCCATATCATAAACATTACACACACACATATATATATACACGCACAACTTCAGTAAACCCAAAATACTTATCTAAGATCCTCCTTAAGCATGCGTTCTCGTTGTTGTCCCTCATCTAGCTC